TAAAATGTTCATAAATAGTCAAATCATATGCCACCACATTCAGTGAGGTTCTTACACCAATAGTTTTCCCTATAAACCCGTTCCTTTCTAGATTTGTCTTCATTTAGATGCATCCTTGATAATTTTATTTAAAAATACCTAAATTGGTCTTATTTTGTGTTTGTAACATTGAACATCTAGGGATATTTTGGTAATTTAATTTATTTAACTTAAGTACGCCTAGTTGTTTCAAAAAAAAAAAAATTCTTCATTCAAAAACTTGTTTGGGTTTAGAATTTGAAACAAACATAGATATTTACTAATCAAGTCACACTTAAGTTACATTAGTAGAAAAAATACAAATACCCATGTCTACTATGGGAACCCAGAACATGAATTCATACTGAAAAAAATCACCTTCTAAACATAGAAGCCCAAAACTATGTGAGTATTTAGGTTGGCTCGAGTAACTTGAGTAGCCAAATTATCAAAATGCATTACTTATTCATGGTAAAAAAAACCAAGCCAATTGCAGTTTAACATTTCCTAAACAAATAATTAGGTAGGTATTTATGTGAAAGAATTTCTAAAAACCAACTGATAGTAAAAAGTTTGTATAAGGTGTCAAAATAGTTTGAAAAGACTATTTTGATGTTGGAAAATATTCTAATTAATCACCTCGACATCGAGATGAATAGATATGGAGAAAAAAAGAGATTTCAAGTTTTAAAGATAGTCATCTTACAACACATTATCTGAACCGTTTATTTCAAGATTTTCATATATTTATAGATCTACTTCATTTGAACCACTTTTGAAGTTCAAAATTTTCTATTTAGAGATAAAAATAGATTCTAGCACCATCCTAACATCTCTAGACACCAAAGTTGCATCTCGTGACAAAGTTTGGAGGTCTACCAATTTGATTGTTTAAGGTTCTTGGACCTCATTAAACAATCTTGGTGAGTAAAGCTTGGGGGCACCCCTATGTACAGTTTTGCAGCCAAACTCAAAAGATTGTGTGGGGATATAAATATATGGAACAAAAGGACATTTGGACTAGTTGACACCAAGATAGGAGAGGCCAGAGATAGGCTCTCAACCCTGCATGATATGTTAAGTGAACATCCTGACGACCTTTCCCTTACCATGGAAGAAACTCAGTATACATCCCAATTGAAACAATATCTAGCACATGAGGAGAGTATGTAGAGACATAAATCAAGGGAATTTTGGCTTAAAGAGGGGGACTCTATTACCAAAATTTTCCATATGTCTACCATAGTCAAAAGGCGGCATGATAAAATCCTCTTCCTCAAATACTCCACTGGCAAACAAATTTCAGACCCTAAAGCCATTGAAAGCCACATCATTGCATATTTTGAGGAACTTTTAGTACTTGAGACACAAGAAGCCACTCTAGTGGGTCCCACGGCTGCAGATATCCTTCTAGGCAAGTGCCTTACAAAGGAAGAATGCGATGCATTAACAAATGATATTTCCCCAAAGGAAATTCGAAAGTGCGTATGGGATATGAAATCAGAAAGTGCACCAGGACCAGATGGCTTCGGGGTGGAGTTTTATAAGTTCAGTTGGGATATTATCAAGAGTGATCTCTTTTGTGCTCTTAATGACTTCTTTGGTAAAAGAAAGTTTCTCAAGGCCGTTAATTCTAACTTCATATGCCTAATTCCCAAAGTCTCCTGCCCCACTACTATGAGGGATTTCAAACCAATTGGCCTTTGTAATGTCTTCTATAGAATTATTAATAAGATAGTGGCAAACATGCTGATGAGGGTACTCGATAGACTAATTCATCCTTGCTAGGTTGCATTTCTCAAAGGGAAGTTAATCACCGATAATGTCCTCACTGCCAATGAATTGATCTCTTTGTGCCACAAGAATTTAGCCAGACCAAAGATGTGTATTTAGTTGGACCTCAGCAGCGCCTATGACAGGGTCTCATGGGGGTTCATATCCAACAGATTACATGCGATGGTGTTTCCAGACATTTTCGTAACCTGGGTTCAGCATTGTATCACTACCCCATCTTTTTCTATCTTGCATAATGAATCCCTTGTGGGCTATTTCAAGAGTAAGAGAGGCCTTAGACAAGGTGATCCTCTATCCCCATACCTCTTCCTCCTTGTCATGGACTATCTCAGTAGAATGATCGTTGCTACTATTGCCGACAAATCACTTCCCCCTCCTTTTCCATCGGGGTGCAACTATGGGGGTCACTCATCTTCTTTATGCAGACAACACCTTCATCTTCAGCGAGGCTCTGACCTTAGCGGCAAGGACCATTAGGCACATCATTGATGTCTTTTGCAGGGCGACAGGTCAAAAACTCAATCATCACAAGAGCAAAGTCATGTTCTTTGGGTTTAGTAGCAATCTGAGAGCACAAGTACTTAAAAAACTCCAATTTTGTTTGGGGGACCTTCCTGCCAGATATCTATGACTTCCCCTCTTTCATAGTCCTTTGAAGCATCTACACTGTCATAATCTTTAGGAAGACCATTGCTCGGATTGGCTCATGGCAAGCATTATCTTTATCTTTTGCAGAACGATTACAACTCTTAAGATCAGTACTCAATGGTCTTCCATTTATTGGTTGCTCTCCTTATGTCTCCCTAGCCGCACTTGCACTATGATTGAAAGACTCCAACTCAACTTCTTGTGGGCAGGGACTTCAGAGAATAAGGGTTTGCACTTGGTGAACTGGGATACTATATGTTAGAAAGCATATGAAGGGAGCCTTGGGATTCGTAGACTCTATGACTTTAATATGATGGGCATGATGAAGATAGCATGACAAATCATCTCCAATCCCTCCTCTCTCTTATCCCGGTTCTTCAAACATAGGTACTTTCGCCACTTATCAGTCTGGACTACTCACCCTAAGATCTGCCCACATGCTTGGAGGGGAATACTAAAGCGCTCGAGTAGATTGCAAGGGAATGTAAGATGGATACTTGGTGATAGCAAGCAGGTGGACTTTTGGGCTGACCCACGGCTTTCAGAGTCCTCCTTATAAGAGCTATATGGTGCCGATACTCACGAGACCCTTGGGAACCTGGCAAAATCAAAGGTCTCAGATTACATTTAGGGTACACCACAAAAATGGACCCTTTCAATACCTACCTCTACTCCACTCATTTGTGCATGGGAGGAAATTTATTCATATATGCTCCCTATTTACCCCTATCCGGACCAATTGGTATAGATTCACTCAGCCAATGGCAAGTTCTCTGTGAGCGATGCTTGGGACAACATCAGACAAAATGAACCAATATAACCATCTTTCAGGGCTCTTTGGACCCAGCCCATGCTAGAGTAAAGTGGTTTACTTGGCTCGCCATGCACTCTCGATTTCCCACCATGAGCCTCCTCTAGTCTAAGGGCCTCCCTTTGGTCTCTGGATGCCCTTTCTGCCTACAAGAGGAAGAGTCATTTGATCATATCATTATGCAATGTGTGTTTTCGAAGGTGCTTTAGAGATCCATACTATGGAAATGTGACAAACACATACCACTCGAGCAATATGTTATTATAATGATGGCGAAGTGGCTAAAGTTCCAGTTCAGATCCAATGGTATGAAATACATTTGGATTTCCACATTCTCCACCACTGTTTGGCACTTGTGGGTTGAGCGTAATGCACGTATTCATGAAGGGAGAAGGACACTAGAGAATACCTCCTAGGGCACATCATTCATTTGTTGAGCAAGTTAGCATAAGGGATGGGTTGGGCTTTCCACCCTCCTGAGATTCATCTTTCCACAAATCTCAAGCTTAAGTGGCATATCACCCGCCCTCCACCCCAATCCCGATTGCATGGTCTCTCCCACCCACAGGGTATTTTAAACTTAACATCGATGGCTCGTCCTTTTGTAACCCAGGCATCGAGGGATATAGGGGGATCATCAGAAATGACACAGATGGCTTCGTAGTGGCCTTTGCTGTCCCTCTTGGCACCAGCTCCAATAATGCCGTTGAGTTCCATGCCTTGGATCGAGGCATCTCCTTGGCGCATGAGATGTATTGTTGCCCTCTTATCATTGAGAGTGACTCCAAGTTGCTAGTCGACTCATTCACTTACCGCAGCTCTCACCCATGGAGGCTTCACATCCTCTTGTCTAACTATAGGGCAAAGCTCTACTCATTTGCAGATCACCAGTGGCATATATTGCATATATTTCGAGACGCGAATTTGACTGCTGATTGCCTTGCTAAGCAGGCGGCATTCATGGCACAAGCCACAGTTTGGCGTGCTGATTTTGTCACTCCCTTCATTTCACGGGATAATGACAATATCCCTCTTGAAAGGCATGGTTAATTTCTCGTCTGTGGTGTAACCTTTTTTATTGTGCTCATTAATAAAAACTAAACGGGTAAGGACTCGTTATCCCAATAATTTACCCAAAAAAAAAAAGAAAAAGAAGAAGAAAAGGTTGCAACCTTATACAAATCACACCCAATAACTAATTTGATATATTAAGTGATTTGAATCACCTCATTGGTTTTTTGCGGTGGTATGACCATTTTATGAAGGGGTGTAGATTGTATAAAGCCTATGCTCTAAACAATCAATTTAGAGCCTACCTTCAAATAGTGTCGAGAAATGTGGTTTCAATACTGGAAGTATTTGTGACAGTCTTAAAATATATTTTCATCTTTATTTATAAAGTTTAAAGATTAAAAAATAGTGTAGATTGGAAGATCTATGAAAACTTGAAAATCTTGAAAATTGACGATCCAAAAATGTATTACAAAATATACTATTTCGAAAATTTAAAATCCATTTTTTTCTGATGTCTATATTTCTTGATGTCTAGATGATCAATTTGTGGATATTAAGGCATGTCTATATTTCTTGATGTCTAGATGATCAATTTATGGATATTAAGGCATCAAAACAATGAAAGTTTTGAGGTAGGCTCAAATTTGATTGTTCAGAGCCTCGGCATTTGTGGATATTAAGGCATCAAAATAATGAAAGTTTTGAGGTAGGCTCAAATTTGATTGTTCAGAGCCTCGGCTCTATATCCTTTTATTGATTGAGATTTGCCCTAAACAGTAAACCTCCTTTCCCGCTACCGACGTTAGGGCTCTTATAAACTCTTCTTTAAACCTCTCTCTTTCCAATTATCGAAAACACACACCCTCCATCTTTCTCTTTCTTTTTCTCTCTGAGATTATTGAAAACTGGTTTCAATGGCTCTCGAAGCTCCTTCAAAAGATGAGAATAAGAAGAGGAGGAGGCTGAAAGAAAACTCTGTATATGGAAACTATAAGAGCTATTATGGGTACCGGGTAAAAATACGTTTTTTGCCATCATTTTTCTGGGTTTCTGGTTGGTTTTTTGGATTTAATTTCATGCGTTATTTTTGGTTTCTCCGTGTGTTATGCTCTGTTATTGAGCAGAAAATCATTTTCTTTGATAGGTTGTTGAGCAGAGAATCCTCTGGAAAGTTTGGCATTCATTCTTGTAATCTGTTTAGTGGTGGGATTAAGTAGTATAAGTTGTTTATTTACTTATTTGTTTTGTTAAATGTCTATAACCGAGTTCAATTATGAATAATCAGCTCTTGTAAAGCTTCATTTATTGTTCGAAAAAAGACTAATTATTGAACTTTATCCCACTGCAAAAAGCCTGATCTATTACCAGTTTTTGAATGTTTTTGTTGGTGATTTTGTTAATTTGGGTTTCTCTATTTGCTTGACCAATGTTTCTAATGACATTCTTGAGCTTATAGCTTGCTTTCTTTGATTTACTGTTGCTTGTTATGGTTATTTAACCTATTTAATGATTTTTTTACTAAATTTATTCACAATCAACATTCTCATGAAAACCTGTACATCCCTTGGTTTTTCTTATTTATTTCCTTTTTTTTGGTATTTTTGGTCTTAAATGCATTAGTTTTAACATCAGTTTCATAACAAATAATATTGTTTTGAGAGGTCCGGGTATACAGGTTTGAATGAGGTTTAATAATAATACTATTGTTCTTAGATGTACATTTTGGTAAGTCAATTCCCTACATCTTTTACTGGTTGTTGATTTCATGGAGAATAGATGGTCATTGTGTGACTAGATGAGTACTGTGCTATTGAATGTTGTTGTGGTTTTTCATGAATAACAAGTTTGTCCTACACCATGACCTGTTTGAATTTATATTTTTAGCTATCATAACTCATCGGTTTACTTTGTCCACATGATCTTTGATATAAATGTGAAATATATCAGAATGAATGAATGGCATGTAAACTGTGTTTGCATTCCTGTAATGGGACCTAAAAGACTGTCCAATATTTTTAAAATGATCTCTTGTATTCACTGCTATCTTTTTACTTTGATACCTTATTAACTTTTGGAGAGTTTTTGAAGAAAAGGGTGGCTGGAGCCTGTGAGTTATTAGACTATAAAATTAAGGCACTATGCATGCACTACTTGAGGTAATGAATATTAGGTTATGTAAATCATTTGAATGATCGTTTTGCACTTTGATGCTTATCATTTTTGGCTATTTAGGGAGAACTTAGGTGTGGCTCCAATGGGCGATAAGATGAGTGAAAGTGGACTTAGGTGGGCTAGCCATGTGCAGCGCATACCCAGTACAATACCTGTTACGAGGTGCGAGTTGGTTGAAGTGCAACGCTAAAAAAGGGCAAAAGGTACGCCCAAAAGTTGGAAGTAGTGAGAAAAGATATGGGGATTTATGGCCTCACTGAGGGTATGGTCCTTGTTAGAGCAGAATGATAGACCAAGATTCGCATAGCCGACCCCAAATAGATGGGAAAAAGTTCTGATGATGATGAACAAATGATGTTTCTTCATTCCAAAAAGAGTTGGAAAAATCTTCCCTTCTTAGTGACGAATTGTTAGTTCCTTAAGTGGCATACTTGATCTCTTAGATTTGCCTTAGAATGCATCAAAGTGGTGAAGATCTGAAGAAGGTTTCAAGGATAAGAGACAACCCAAGAAGAACTTGAAGGGTCGTGTGTCCCCCTTCATCACATGGCTTTCATATTACTGTAAAGGAAAAGGATGTACGAGCACAAACATTATTCCTTCTGATCTAGAATATTACAGAAGTATCCCTTAGCCATTTTTACACCTACTAAATAATCAACAGAATAAGAAATAACAAAATGAAGGTGCAATGATAAACTACTTTTGACTTCCCAAAACTACCCTTCTCTTAACTTCCACTCAATTTGATGTGGGTGATCAACAAGCATCAGTTTTCACAGAAGGTGATCATAACTCTTGCTGGGCATAGCTTTGGTAAAGGTATCTGCCACTTGGTCAACATCAAGAACATATGTTCGCCCTTGAACCCATTCGTGAACAGAGTGACAATCAACTTCAACATTTGTAGTCTTTTCATGGATGGCTTAATGATTAGCAATTTTAATGGCCTGATATTATCAGCATAAAATGGAGTTGGAGCAGTAAGCTGAAGCCCCAATTTGGTCACAATAATAAGAAACTTGTTCTGCAATGAAGGCTATATACCACTATTGGGTCCATCTAATTTGTCCAATTTCATGACACTGGATCTTGATTTCACAAGACATTGTTTTTGGTCAATTTTTTCATGGGGGATCTGAATTGATTGGTTTTTCTTTGATCTAAGTGTAATATTAAACGAGTAATTTGGTTTGATACTTGTATGTCATAAATGATCCTATTTGTAGTTATGCTAATTGGGTGATGCATGTGGTATGATAGAAGTGTATTTTTTGATCAGTTGGTAAGTATAAGTATGAATGCTATTTGAGTCTTGACCTGTGAGATTCAATTCATTTTGGTGATAGCTAATGCTGAGTGGAAGTTTCCTTTCCATCACATGACTTGCTTCCCATCCCAATTCAGATTGTTTTTTTTTTTTTTTTTGAGAAATATAATATGTAACAAGAAAATTCAATTCATGTCAGTGCTTTATCATATTTCTGATGCCAGACATTGGCGCTGAATGAGGAATGACCTTTTAGGCCTAGGTGGTCAGTGAGGTAGGGTGCCACAAGATGACGTTCCATTCTCACCGAGGTCCCAAGTTAACATTAAAAAATAAACAAAAATAAAAAGGACATTGGTGCGGAATTTACGAGATATGTATTACAATGTGAAGATACTAAAAATTGTAGTCTTAGAGGATCTGTTACTTTGAATGTCTTTTTCAGTAATTGAAGTTCTTATTTGTCTATTGCTGATGTTTATTTTTTGTTCTGTATGGGTTATTAGGTTGACCACTCATTAAGTGAAGAACCTCGAATGAAGGTAATGAAAAAGGAATGGTTTGAAGACAAAGATTGTCTTGATATTGGCTGCAACCAAGGGTTCATGACTATTAGCATAGGTAAGACTTAATTCTATTGAGTTAGATTTCAGCTGGATTATTTGCATAGTTTTTTATGTGCAGCTTGGTTTATGTTCTCTCATGCCTTGCAAAGTTGGTGGATCTCTCACATTATTATTTTCTATATTGGTGGTGTTTGATATTTCCTTTGTTTGGGTAGGTAGGCTTTCACATACTCATTTCAGCTATCCTGATTATTTTTGTTATTTAATCTGGGGTTTGGTAAAAAGGAGAAAGGTAAGGATCCAAAATGATGACCGCAAAATCTAGTGTTTTTGTATGAACTAATACTTAAAGAATGCCAAATGATAGAAATTCTTAGCAAAGAAGGTTTCTTTAGGGAAAATTTGTTCTTTATGCGTCCAAGTATAGTACAGAAGAATTGCGTAACCACATCATTTATACAGGATAGACCAAGAGAACATAGTAGTTCTGCTAGTTGATTTTCATGCTACAATAAAATAGAAACTCATTTATAAAGAAGTTGCATGCCCAGACATGTTCAAAACATGATTCTAAGAATCTAAGAAAATATGGTGTATGCAATAACAGTGATTTAAACTCTGGAGCTGGAGTGGGACTTGCCCATGGCTATTGGACATGGCAGCATGCCGGGTCCTATGGAAAAACCTCAGGAACAAGCCAAGTCTCACCAGCTCCAGAGGTTACTGTATTAATTCTACATAAATTCAGCACAGTCTCATGTCTGACTGGGTAACTCGGGCTCTGAGGCCAAGTTCGTGTTTTGAATCAGTATACAATAGAATCCCTCTTGTCTGGTAATTCTCAAGGTGCTTTGCCAATGTATTAGTTACCATGTTTTCTTCACTAGATACACACTGTTCAGTTCACGCTCTCAAGAAGATACGTACTTTCTTCTATGATGCAGAGGTTGAGCTATTTGACATCACCCGTGCAGTTGTTCATCACACTGTATTTAAGCCTCATCAAACTCATGTAGGGTCTAATATTTTCAAGCTTCCTAGCTATACGGTTTGATTGGCATTTGTCTTTTTGATGTTTAGCTGTGTTTTATTAAAATCTGTGAAGTTTAAATGTCACTGTGCTGGAAAAATGTGATATAGGGGTATAGTGGAATTTGTTTTTTACAGATTTGGGATACAAAAGGCTGCCCTGAAATGGCATAAAATATGGGGTCCATTTGGACTTTATCTTTATAAAATTGACTATAAAAGGCTGATTTTTTGGTGTTCGTTTTGGGGCACATCATACAGAGCAATGATCAGGTTCAGTGTATTCCTTTATGGGCTAGAGTTCACTAGCTCGTTTGCTGCTCTCCACATATGTCCAAAAGAAATGCTGATCCTTGAGCTTAGGTCATTGATGTGGGCGAAAACGTTTTTCAGTTTCCATGGGCATGGGGTGGTTTGATTACCCTTTAGTCGCTTAACAATTGTACCACTAATTTATACTCTCAAACTCTAATCTGATTCTGGAAGTAAAGTATACATTTGATATGACGTTAAGTGTGTGCTCTTTTGTTTAATTTCAGTTTCTTATCTAATTTCACTTTGTGAAAACTCAAAGAAATCAGATACCCGATTCCTCAAAACAAAGTACAAATGACATCAGTATTGATAGTAGCTTGGAAAGTTATAATTAACATGCGTTCCCATGAACCCATGAAACTTATCAAAGCTGAACCAATGAAACTTATCAAAGCTGTCAATCTGCTAGGGGACTTTGTTCAACACAACTACTTGTTACTTACCTTAAGGGTCATATTTAGTTACTTTTCATATGGTTCTTTAGTTGAAATTATTCATGAAATTCAGTGCTCTAAAATCTTGGATTGTTTATATCAATTGAAAATAATCAAGTTTGTGGTGCATAAATGATTTGTATGGCTTTAAATTCTTAGGATATAAAGTCAGTTATCAAAGTTAAAAAGTCAATGTCCATAAAATGACATAGTGAAGTAATAGTTTTCTATGTTGTTCATTATTCATTTAATTCTTTATTTCTTTTTCTTATTTTCTTATACAAAGTTTGGATTTTTTTTTTCTCTTGAGAATGTTACAAAGTTTGGATTATTTGTGCCAAATTGTGGTGTTGACACTGGGTCATCAACATTGTCACAAATAAATAAACTACAGCAGAAGAAGGGTTGTTAAGCATTGAGCAATGTAAGCTTTGGCCAACAGCTTTGGCAACTTAGTTTGAGGGTTTTGTTCCAAATTACATGAGGCCCCTTGGGAGGGCGAGGTTTTGGGCAATTCCTATTTCTTTTGCAAGATAAGGTTGTTGCAAACTGGAAATTATGGGCCTCCTAATGGACACATAGACCTATAATAAGATGGTGGTTGTTAATAATGGCTTCCAACTCTTGCTGGGAGGTTTGAATTAGATGGATTCATCATGAAGATTTGCCTATGGGGAAGGTATGATGCTGTAAGGACATGAAGGGATTTTGGTGTTGAGAATTTTCATTAGTGATACCGGCTTAGATATAGCCAACATTCAAGAGAAAGATTTCAGTTCTTTAATGTAAGAAACAAAAGAAGAAGAAAAAAAAATGTTCCCTGGTGTTTGATCATCTTCTTACATAGGATAGACTACGAGTATGTGACATTCTTGAGTTTATTATGGATATCATTTGGAGTTCAATGTCAGCATCAGTTGGTTTCTATTACAGAGTAAATGTCTTTCTCATGGACTTTATTAAGTCTTCGTTTATTTTACGGTATAATGGTGGAGGCTGTGGAAGGCTACATAATTTTGTTAAGATTCTTGGAAAAGATGGTGGGAGGCAGCTTACTCATGAACACTAATGACTTGAGGGTGGTGGATTTTCCTTTGATAATGATCATTTGTTCTTGGTTTCGTTAGGGGGTTTATATAATCACTTTTTGGGCTTGCCGTTTATTGGTTTGCTCTGATTGAGGTGACATTTTTTTGCAAGGTTTTCTTGGTTCTCTTTGGGAGTTTCTCAAATCATAACCCAGTTGTGTTAGTATCTGATAAGGTTATGAAATGGTCTCTCTTTTCAGTCCCTTTCCTGAACTAAAATGGTGTGAGCATTCAGGCTTTGGTAATTAGGTAAAAGGATTGGCATGTTTTTCTTCTGTTGCGTTGAAGGTGTTTTTCTTTCACTTTGTAGGGGTCCAAATTGAACTGTTCTCAAATGAAAGCCTGAATCGAGAGGCTTGTGAAGAGCCTTGTGGCTTATCGACGGAAACCAAGTTGCCCTTTCCCGTTGATTGGGGTCCTAATGTGGTGGGAGACCATTGGTGAGATTGAGATATATTGAGTTTCTTTCTCGTTCTTGAAGTTTGTTTAGTGGCTTCTGTTTTACTACTTGACTAGGCTATATATGGTTGATGCGGAACTGAAGTCACCTTTCCCCCTTTGATAGTTCCTCCAGATTATGAATGAATAAAACATGTTGGTTGGAGAGACCTCTTTCTAGAGGTGGTTATGTGGGTGATATGTAGCCTTCCTAGTGCTAGCCCTTAGTCCTTATCTTTGCCTCTCCCCTTTCTATGCCTGGCTTTTAATTTGTTTTTGGGTGTGGGTTGGGGGGTTGGATTTGTTACACTTCCAGAACATTAGAGTTCAGGTGTCAGTTTTGTGATATGTCTATTTCTCCTTCGATGCTCTCATTGGTAAGTATAGGCTTGCTCTAATCAAATTGTGCACCAGTAATAACGAGGTTTGGCGTATGAATGCCAAGTACTAGGGTAATGGGGGTTGGTTTTCTAGTTTGAAACATGCTGTAGTTAAAAGAAATTGATAAAACTTGGAATGCAAGTGGTCCTGTTGATGCAGGTCTGTGGAATTTGTGTGGCATTTGGGGAAGATGTTAATTATGGTTTGGGTTTTTTATTTTGATGGCCCATTTTCCTTCATATTTATTGATTTTGTTTGAAGTTTGTTTTCGAAGTCCCTCAATTCAAATTATGGAGCCCATAATTCACCCTAACAGTCCTTGTTCATTGGTTGTATTATCATTGTAGAGTTAGGGTTGTTGTACAGCTTTGGAATTTCTAGCTTGAGGGAGGAGGACATTATCTTCAATATGTGGTTGACAATCTCATCATTGCTGGTGATTTTCCTCAGAAGGTTATTAACCTCTGGTTTTCAAGATTGATATTAGACACTTAGGATATTCAAATAGGTGAAAATTTATTCGGTTTGTTGACTGGGACAATCTTGGAGACTCTGATGAGTCTTATGGCTTGTTTTATGGGTCCACCATGTCGGCATACTCAAGGATGCCTATTTGCACATGTCGCATGTTAAGCACTTGTGGGATCTGCTGTTCTTGGAACTTGGTAGCTCAATAGGCTTCATTGACCAATATCCCAAAGTAATGCCAAGCTGTAGGGCCTTTTGAAGGCTGTCCATATTCTATGAAGTTCGGCAGAGCACATACCATTTTTGGGCTCATATTGTTTTGTCAACATTTGATTTGCTCTTCTTATAGTTCCTTCAGTTTTATTTCCTTTTGAGTCATCTGATTTTTGCCATAGGGTTTCAGATAGTTTCTTTTCGTTGTAGGCTACTCTGTTTGGCTATTTAATGTGTTGCCCTAGTTTTTTCTCATGGTTTGCTTTAAAGTCAAGGCTCACAAAATTGGGCTTCCTGTCTGCAAGTAGGTGCGACTTTTGTCATATGTAGGAATGAAGATGAAATCGGTTGTTCTTCCTTTGTTGGTTTCCTTGCATTTTAATATATTCATTTGTAGTCGGCGACTTCTTTCCACGGATTGTATGGGGTCCTTATAGTTGTGGAGTAAGGATTTCAATAAACAATGTAACTTCTGTGGAATTTGTGCGTTCATTGGAACTTGTGGTTGGATGGAGAGAACTGTCCCAATGTTATGTTTTCTAAAGGTGGGGGGATGGCTGGATGAGGCAATGGTTTTGTCGATTATTAAGAGAAGGAAAAAGCAGTGTTTCAAAAAGCGCTAGGTGGCACCTAGGTTGCCATGGGGGTTAAGGTTGCCCAGTTCCTAGGCGGGCGCCTAGAACCTGGGCAGCCCAGTAGAAAGAAAAATGTTAGAATTTTGTGATTTTATCCATAACTATATACTAAATATAACAGTGTAACTATATAATACATAATCCATAATCCATATTTGATATTTCTATGAATGAGGAGAATTTTGATTGTCCATAATCCATATTTTCATACAATGCTAAAACCATACAAGCATACACTAATACACACAAGAGTAAGATAGTAGAAACTAGAAACTAAAAATAGAAAAGAGAAAATATACAGAAATTCAGAAAATATATAGTCTAGGAGACTAGGACTCAATAGTCATCAGTCAACACCAAGAGTCAAGTTTTTTGAACTCTTCATTCTTCAGTCATCATCATCATCATCATCAAAAAGAGTAGGGTAAGCATCATCATATGCATCAGATTCGAGGCCATCATCATCAGAGTCACTCCCTCTTCAACATAACGCGTGTCCTCCTTTGTTTCTTCTGAATCTTCCTCTTCTTCTACTTGCCTCTTATTCCGTGTATATGAGGCCCTAGTAGTCTTGGCTGCTCTACCCTTTTCTATCTTTTTGTGCTTCCCTAAACTCAAATATTGTATAATCTCCTCCCTGGTAGCCTCAAGAACATTTTTACACTGGGCAGCATCCTCATTAATTCCAGCAAGGCAGTGTTTCAAAACGCGCTAGGCAGCACCTAGGTGGTCAGGGGGGGTCCAGACTACCCAGCGATTAGGCAGCCGCCCAAAACCTGAGCTGCCCAGTAGATTTTTTTTTTTTTGGGCTTTTCTTTCTCTAAAATAGGCTCTAATGGGTTTTAGGTTTCAAAAGAACCTAGAACCCACAATTTTGCACCTTTAGTATTAAAAAAATGACCAAAAAATATCCTCAACGAGGGGCAGTTCTGCCCTTGAGTGGCCGTCTAGGCGGGTTCCCGGGTGCCTAGGTGGGCGCTTAGGGATATCCGCCTAGGCTTGGGCAATGCACCCAGGCCTTCTAGACCGCCTACGTCGCCACCCAGGCATTGGGTGGTCCGCTTTTTAAAACACTGCAGCAAGGTGTTTTTTGAACCGATAAATGCCTCCATTAGTATCCTTTCCACAATAATTACATTTAATATAATTTTTGTCATTCGGATTCGGGTTATGACCATACTTTCTATCCGGATCACTACTTCTAGAAGAATCTGGAGAAGATATTTTTATAGAACAAGGCTCATTTTCATCTTTTTCTGGTTCTACTAAATTCAAATATTGTCTAATCTCATCCTAAATAGCTTCAGGAACTTTTTTACAAGAATCAACATTACCTTTAATACCATCAAGGTGTTTCTTGAATTGGTTAATACCCCATTACAATCTTTTTCACAAAAAATACACCTTATATAATTTCTATACTTTGGTTTTGGGTTATGACCATACTTCCAACCCGAATCACTTCTTCTAACAGAACCAGAAATAGACCTATCCAAATGACAAGGATTTTGTTCCTGTTTGTGTTTTACTGAACACATATATTGGTTAATATCCTTTCTTATAGCTTCAAGAACATTTTCACACGGGGCAACATTCCCCTTAATACCGGCAAGATGTTTATTAAACTGGTTTATGCCCTCTTTTGTATCACTTTCACAATAATTTCATCTTATACAATTTTTGTCATTCGGATTCGGGTTATATCCATATTTCCGACCCAGATCACCGCTTCGACTAGATCTTGAAGAAGGCATATCAAAATAATACAAGCAAACTAAATTTTTTTTTTTTGCACTTATTTTGATTGCTTGAACTCCAAACTTCTACTTCTGAGATGTTTTCTAGTGCTAAAATATTAAAAAACACTTTCTAATAGGACTAAAAAAACTCCAAAATTAAATCTAATCTTGATGGGTGATGTTTGGATCCATTTCCTGTAACTTTGAGAAATACTTCGATCCAATGAAAATCACAAAATCTAATTTTTTTTGAGGTTTTTCTCTCTCTCTCTAAAATGGGTTCTTGTAGGTTTAGGTTTCAAATGAACATAAAATTCACCTTTAAAAACAATTTGTTTTTTCAAAAGACCCTAAAAAAAATTCCATTTTCGCCCCTGAGCGGCGGTTTCTCAGGGCTGGGCGCCCACCTAGGCGGGTGCCGTACCACCTAGGCGACCACCCACCTAGTTTGGCCGCTTAGGCCTGAGTGCATCGCCATGCTTAGGCCTGAGTGCATCGCCATGCACCCAGGCCTTTTGGACCGCCTAGGCACCGGGCGGTCCACTTTTTGAATCACTGGGAAATAATTTATTTAAGATGCCGACTTTATAATATAGAAGAAAGGTGCACCTGCAAAATCCACTCGAAAATGTTCCGAAGTCAAAAACCCTACAATTTATCATCTCTACTTGGAGATGTATGAATGTGAAAAAAGAAGGATTTCAAGTCTTAAAAATATTGCATCTTGTATAAATTATCTAGACTATCCATTATCAAAAACATTTAAGTGTTTATGGATTTGTTCGGTCTTTACTGATTTTGAAGCTTTAAATTTCATAATTAGAGGTGAAAATAGAGTTTTAGACCGTCGTAAGGGTTGTCAACACTGGAGCTGTATTCTTTAGCATGATTTAGGGGCATGCCTTACTTTGATAAGGTTAATACCTTCAACACACCTCACTCGGAAAAAAAAACCCACCTATTGTGTCAAAAGTATTTGTTATTTGGTTTTTGTTGATAGCTCAATAGGTTGCACTTTGGACAAAGACTTTCTTGGTTCTCTTTTATGGCTGGTTTCATTCTTATTCTTGATGCTTTTTATGATACATAATTTAAATTTAAGGTAAAGATTTTGCTCTGGAGCTTCTTTATGTATGTATAACTGCTCATGTGCTTTAATTTAATTCATTTAAATAATAATTTTCTGTTATTTATTTTCTTGCAGCAATGAAATTCTTTTGCCGGAGCATGGTTGGGATTGACATCGATCAGAGTAAGATCTTCAAGATGCTGTCTTTAGCTTTTATTGTCACCATATACCTAAACTGACCATGTTCTGCATAATATTGCAACTTTCAGGCTAGTAGTTCTCTCTATATTAAATGTTAAAAATCTGATTATGAGGAGGGGCCATTTCAGGTGTGACATGTCCTTTCACCAAGCGTCAATCCACTGTTTTCCAACTATAGTCATTTGTGTAATTAGTGAGCTGAAGGTCCTATCTCCTTTCTTTCTATCTATGATCCACATTGTTTCACAAAACGGTCCACCCAGCACCGGAGGTTCTTAGGGTGCATGCCCAAAGCCTGGTGGCCCTCCCTGGGCGTCTGCATAGTGGGCCCCCCTTTTTTAAATTAAAGTGCCCCTTAAGAGCACTTTTGGTCAATTTGACCCACGAATTTTACATAAATGACTATTGGGGGTATTCTAAATTCCCAAAGTGAAAAATACTTTGAATCTAAGCCCCCAAATCAATTGATTTTGAGATTTCTTTGAATTGACAAAGGAATTTGAGGTTTGGAGAAGCATAAAAAAACTTATCCTTCATTCTTGGAACTTTTTAGGGTTCTAGTGAAGGTTTTTTGTATTTCATCGTGACTGGTTGAGATCATGTTCGTGTGTCACAATGGAGTATGACATACTCTGTTTGGATTGGATAGTTGGAGGTTAATATTACCATGAATTTGTTTATATTTTCGACGTGTTCCACAAAATTTTCAATGATTTAAAGTTTTGAATGTGTTTCAACATTCATGTATATATATTTTCATAAAAAAAGTAAGTTAGGATTCATGTAAATGTAAAAAAATAAATAAATCAAAATTAACACAAATATCTGCATATATGTGCTTTTTAACAGCACATACATGCATAGTAAAACTTTTCACCTCGGGGTGCCTGAAGTTTGGGCGCCTGCTTAGGCACCTGGGTGCTGGGCCGGCTGCCTAGGGGCTGCCTAGTGTTTTCTGAAACATTGATGATCCATTGTTTGCTTAATAACCCTTTTTTCTGACCATGGTCAGATATTCAAACAATGACTGATAGGTCCTATTACATAATCCAATCACTAGCTGTGTATTTTACTATCCCCAACCCAAAAATGGTGGACCAAGTTGGTGGTCTGGCTCATTATAAATGCATCTGCCTCATCATCAGCTTCTTGTGCTTGGAAAGGTTAGTCCTAAGTAAAAATATATGTTTGTGGATATTGGTAAGTATTGGGGAAAAGTCTTATGGAGGTGGAACTTTGAGGGCATAGAGTGGCAATCTTTGTCACAGATTGGAGATGGGCTAAGAAATGTAGTCAAACTTCACTCTCAGGATCCTTATGTTTGAACACCTAAAACTTTCTTCCTGTGTCACTGGTAGATTGTTTGGTTTGCCCGGAGATTATAAAACAATCATGTCTCTTGGGAGAATACATGGCACATTAGCATGGTCCCTGTGCCAGGATGACATGCACGAACTGAGAAACTTCTCCATCCACCACGGGGGGTGGGGTGGAGTGGAGCTGGGAATGGAAAAGACCAGCACATGTTACCATCCATTTATGTTAATAACTGCACAATTTGTATACTAGTTCTTTTGTGTTCTCTTTCATGTTCTGACAAAATCTTTACCACCATTGTGATGATAATTATACTTAGATTTGGTGGAACGCGCGAAGCGAAACCTTCAAAGGATAGCTGCAACCAAAAGTGCCATTACTTCTCTAGAGCCTTGTGAAGCAGAGAGTTCAAAAGGCACTGAGTCTTTGGAACTCTCGAAAGATCAACCTACACTCAAAGGAACAGATCTTATTGAAAGCGTGAAATTCCGAAAAGAAAATGTCTTGGAAAAATTGCAGCCATGCTCTCCAGAGTATGACACCATTTTGTGGTAAAGTTCATTTCTTCCCCTTCCATGTGATATTTGCTGCTTATTTTTATATTTGGGATTATGTATATAGACTTCTTGTCATCTTTCTGATGAAGTTTTAGAAAACCCAGTAATTTTCTCCTCATTTGCATTCAACAAAGAACATTAAAATGTTCTCGTTCTACCTTCGCTTCTTTAGTTCTTAGAATTTTGTTGAGTCAAATTTTTTCAGGCTACATTCTATTTTTAAAGCTTTAGATATTGTTTATGCTCTGTTTCCAATTCTTGTATTTTAAATTGAAAGTATTTTAGTTCCTGATTGATTATGCGTTTCTAAGGTACTTCTCATGTTGCAGTTTGAGTGTGACAAAATGGATCCATCTGAATTGGGGTGATAGTGGATTAATTGCTCTCTTTGCAAAGATGTGGCATCTGCTTCGTCCGGTAAGAGTGGCATTGAATAGCTTAGTTAAGGTTTTATATTTTAGTTTGAGCTAGGAGGAATGCATTTTGAAGAGATATTTGGTACCTTTCTCTCTCTCTCTCTCTCTACATTTAAAGGAAGAGTTTTAGTATGTGGTATTTGATTGGCAGGGTGGCATTCTTGTGTTAGAACCTCAGCCTTGGGTGTCATATCAACGAAAGCGTAGGGTATCTGAGGTATGTTGGTTCTTTGACATGGTCTCATACTTTGCAAAAGCATGTCTCTATTCGATATTTAGGATGCTGCATTAATTGTATCCATGCCATCTCTCTCTCTCTCTCTCTCTCTCTCTCTCTCTCTCTCAGTGTGCCCCATTTTAAGGAGTACTCAACTCTTCACGTATTTTTTCTGTGTTTTTTTTTGCAGAGAGCAGCTGCTAATTTCAAAGATATATTGATGAAACCTTGTTATTTTCCTGAGATTCTCCTCGACAAGGTAGGAACACTTCTAACTGTTCCTTCTCTCTTTCCTCTTTCTATAGTTTTGAAATTGCATGTTCCTGTAATACCGAATGAATGGAAAATTGTGCATATTATGGAACTTTTAGCAGTTTCATATCGTATCAGTACTTGTTCTCTCTGTTTCATAAATTCGAGAGTTGTTTTGTGTGCAGATTGGTTTTAGACATATGGAGAATGCTACCAACAACTTGCAGGGGAGTGTGGTCGGATTCAATCGGCCGATATTTGTATTCAGGAAGTGATGGCACTCTCTTGTCCTTTTTTTTTTTGGGCGGTATTAATATTGTTACAAATATATATAGCCTTTGGACTTTGGTAAATTTGAAAAGGTATCGAGTTAGGTAAGTAAAAAGAGGTACTTCATGTACATGTACCAAAAGGTTTCTCTGGGGAAGCATGCAATTTTGATACTAAGGAAAGCATGAGGAAATTATCCCTTTTCCCTCTTGAGTTCTCTGTATTGCATATTGCATATCTCTCTCTGCGGGGTTAAACATTCCCATTTAGTCACGGCTGGGGAGCAAGTCAAAATCAAAAGGCGCACATTGGATTTAGGGACAATCATGTTTGAAGTGATTAAATGTGAAGCTGACCTTTGCAAATGAGTATAGCCTTGCAGCCCTCAAGAAAAAGAAAAGGGTATCCTAAGGCAAAGGGTAGTGAAATTCAACCCCTTTATTCCACTAAGCCTGGATGGCTCAGAACTGGGTTTTCTTTTCCCATCATTAGGTATTTAGACAAAAAGGGAAAAATTGGATTCAATTGTGAACCGCTTATTTCATATAGGTAAAGGAAAGGACTGTGGATTCAAGCTGTATCACATGGTTTTATAAAATCTATATGATTTTTTTCGATCTAAATCGAGCAGCTTTTACATGAAAATTTTGTTCAACATATTCAATTTGATACTTGTAGGAGAAGAACCTGGCTTGGTGTTGAGAGAGAGAGGGAGAGTCTGGCTTGGCGTGCTTTGTGGTCATGATTTACGCAATTGTCTTCTCTGTACTTTTACCGTTGCGATAATGCATACTCACCATGGGAATGTTGAAATTTCCATGGCGGTTTAGAAAAGATTGGGGGTTTGACCAGGACACGGTTTTTATATGAGTCACTTTTTAAAAATCTATTTTTGAGGTAGATTTTTTCATCAGAGATCATGAATATGAAAAAATAAATAAATTTGAAAAAATTAAAAATAATAATTCTATTAAGAAAACATTTGGACTGTTAAAGTTCTTAGTTGGACCACTTATTTGCTTCCCATCTATAGGTGCTTTATACATTGGGGATTGCACATGTAGAAATGCGGTCCTCCTGCATGAAACAGTTTTCCGACCACATATAAGCATACAACAGTTAATGTATAACATAGGGAGGAAAGTGAAAATTTTCAAAATTTTGGGTTTTGGGGGGTCAAAAGTCAGCACCCCATAGTTTAGTGGGTCCATCTCAGTGGTCCTCAGTATTACAAACACCCCATCATGGGGTAGATGATCCACCCCATACATGCGTGTTGGATCGTTTATTCTAAAATAGTAATTTATGGGTCAGAGGGATTTATGGGGAATTATACTATGCAATCTATCTCTTATATCTTTGATCGCAACTTAAATATATTTACAAACAAAACTTTTTTTTCTTTCTAAAAAGTTTCATCATCATCATAGTTTTTTTTCAATCAGTTGGGGTTGGTTACACGAATCTTGATACGTAATTCTAATCTTATTAAAAGTCTTATCCTCAGTGAGGCCACATCTATTTAAAAAGTTCACATCTTATAATAATTTTGTACCTTTATCTAATCTTAAATTTTAAAAGGGAAATCTACACCCTAAATTTTCCAAACTCCTCTCTCTCTCTCTCGTTACCTAGCCTAAGCCCTTTCTCACAATAGGGTCCTAGTCTCACTGCACAGCACATGTCCTCCTATTAAATGCAATTTAATATATTTAAAAATACTTGTGAAAAATATATGATCTTGAGTTGGAACGGTTCCAAGTATATAAAATGTTAAATAAATAATCTATTATAGGTGCTTTGATAGATTTTCCTATATGTATGGAAAACACTTAAAAATACCCATGAGCAAATTTCTACAATATTTTGTTTATGGATCGTCACCATCCAAAATTCATTGGATGGTCACGATTGTCTGGTAGCATTTAAAAAATTAATTATTTTTATATACATCAAATGACCTTGAAATTTTGTAGCTATATGCATCTTAGGTATATTTTTTGAAAGAAAGACCTATATAATATTTTCCAAGGGAATACAAATTTTTTTTTTTAATGATAATAATCACCCCTTTTTTTATTTTGGCAAAAAAATCACTTACATATGGTCTTATTACAACAATAAAATAAAGCAACAATAAAATAAAACTCAACCACTTGATGCTATTTATTCAACCTAATACTATGCTTGAGAATATAAAATAAAAGAGCAAGAAAGTAAAAGAGAAGATGCCGGAGATTACCTCAACCAAGCTTATTACACACCCACATCGAGTCACAACATCCAATGGCTTGGGATCAGCGATTTAGCTTCAATATTGAACCGGGAAAGCTAATTTCGGCCACCACATCCAATGACGCGGGATCAGCGGTCTAGTTTCAATCTCGAATCGAGAAAGCTGATTTCGGCCACCACATTCAATGATGCGGGATCAGCGGTCTAGTTTCAATCTCGAACCGAAAAAAAGCTAATTTCGGCCAAACTAAGTAACCACCCTTAGATCTTTATAAAACCCTAACCCCCAAAAATAACTCTAGGCTTCCTTCTGATTTTTTTCCCTAGCTTCTTCTTAGGTCTAGAGAGGAGAGAGAAAGCCTGAGAGGAGAGAGAGGGGTGTAGCCCCTAAGGAAGAGAGAGAGTTTATGAGAGAGAGAGAGGTGTTGTGGGAGAGAGAGAGGTGTGTAGAGAGTGGGGAAG